ATAAATACCCTCAATGAAACCTTGGTGGCACCTTTTAAATTCTGATGTTGGGATCTACATTTATTCTCTAAACTTGAAGTGTTAAGCCATATAGATCACTAACCTATTATCTGCCTTTGTATTATGCTTGTCAAACTCCTTTTATCTGTATATTCTCAGGACACCCCCCGCCCCTTGGCAACTGTTGGTGATATAAAACTGTGGTCCTAGAGAGATGGGGGTTCTGATATCTAGCGCAGATTTTGGGACAGACAGTCCTGGCCAGCTCCTGTGTACACAAATATAGGCTAGCTTTAATTTGATTCAAAATTGAAGCCAGTGGTCTTTGCTTTGCATTATGGTTTAACAGTATATTTCTATATACTTAAACATTTGTGTTTTCATGAAATGTTAAAAGATGTGATTCTATATACAGTGATTTATAGAAGATTTCTACATACAAAAGCCCAAAAGTTTCAACTTTTCCAATTAAGAGTAATCTATATAAAATAAAGTATTTCTTATTAAAATAAAATAACTTGTCTAAATTCAGAAATTTAAAAGGATTATACAACTATGGTTAAACAACAACTGTTATTTTGAAATATTTTAATATGTTGTTTCCTTAAGACCTGAACTTATTAATAAAAAAGGCAATGTAATTATGGTACCCTTACTATTATTTGTGTATTAAGTATGTTCATGTCTTCCAGGTATATAAGTCTTTAAGGTAAAAGCTTAAAGAGTACATTATATCAAACTGGTGTTCTCCACATTAAAGTTGTATGGTAATTTTGTGTTTCTAAGGATAAAAAACTTTATTGGAGATTTACTTACATCATTTAATGTTCTATAACTGGACCTGTTACCAATAAGATATAAAGTTTTATGTTACTTTTACACTAGGGTACAATTTAAATGTATTTTTTAGTTAATGAGAGTCTATTCTAAAGGATAATATTGCAAAACACAACCATTTTGCTACTTTTCCACAAAAGTTTAAAACCTCTCAGCCTTTCTGTAATTCATGTTTTAAATGTAATATCATGGGACTGGTGTTGTGGCATGGTGGTAGAGCACTTGCCTGGCATGTATCAGGCCATGGGTTCAATCCTCAGCACCACATATAAAATAATAAATAAAGTGAAAAATCCATTGGCCACTAAAAATATTTTTCTAAAATGTAATATCATATTGTGTTAGCTAATATTTATGTGACCTCGAGCAACAATATATGTAAGCTTTGTAAAATGATATTTAAGAAACAAAGGTCAGCTTTAGAACTAGACCACTTTGCTTAAGGTTTATAAAGATTTATTAAGAGCCCTGCCTTACCTGAGATAAGGCTCTCCCTCCCATCTTGCTACATGTCAAAATGACTCCAAAACAGGCCAGACACCAGCTCATTTAAAGTTGTGTTCAAAAGATTCACATTCTTGTTGTTAAGATTACTAGGATCTCAAACAGGGGTTATAATATATAAATCAGTTAAAATTCAAGGTAGCTATTACATGAACTAAATTCGTTTTTATTCTTGTTAATTTTATTTTTATTTTCCTTATAAGCTGTCTAAATTTTGCCTGTTCATGTTTAACAGAGGTATTGCTTCAAGAACACACAACCTGGGTTAATTTATAATAATAAGCCATCACCTAAAGGACAGATAAGAGTACAGACGCTAAATAATAAAAAGGGGTAAATGACTATAAGGTTATAGATATTAAAGTTAAAGCCCAGTATTCTTAATTTAAGACTGGTGAGACTGACTTTCTAGATGTTTTAGACAAAGACTTAAAAGTCAAAGTTAAATTAAAAGGACCCACAACCAATATTTGGCTCTTGTTCTCAGAGTCAGTCTAAACCCAGGGAACAGAGAACTTCTCTAAGAACTTTGCAACTCTGGGCCACATAACCTCACCATCAGGGAGATAATGAGACCACTAAAGAACAGAATGCCAATTGACATACCTGTGATGAAGAAGAAGGTTATTGGAGAAGGGAGACATCCCTAATGCTTCCAAGGGAAGCCACATGGACAGCAAGACCTGAACCATCCTAGCACAAATGGCACTAGCACAACTAAGAAGTTGATCTCAAGTTCCCCACAAAGAGACTGCCATGGAAATTCAGCTGACTCTTAACAATAGCTAGACATGACAGTCAGTTTGATTTGCTTATTCTTAAACACTTAACAAAAACAGTTCAAACCAAAACATAGCCATTCCTGGGCATTTAAAAGATAAATAATAATAGTTAAATATGACTTAAAATAGACACTTATGTTAGCCCTCCAAACTTAGAAGGATTCTTAGAAAGGAATGCCTGATAACTATCAAAACAAACTATCAAGAGGAATTGCCAGAGTCAGAAATTTTTAGTTAATTTAAGGCCAACAGATATTCCTAACTTACACAGGTAGGCTTGAATATAGGCTAGTATGATTATCCAGCCCAATAACAGAAATAAGTAACAGAAATAAAGGTTGTCAACTAGACACGAAGGTCGTACCAGTAAAAATTTTACTTATCAGATGACATTGAGTAGCTTAACTACATCTCATGGGGATGAACATCTGCAACATTAAAAGTTAAATGTTGTGTTTACATTCCTGATAACTTTAAAGATGTTGAAGATTTGCATTCCAATATAAAGGCCTTGACTACTCTGGCCTTATAATGTGGGCAGCTTCTCAGTCTTTACACTTCCTGGTGAGAAAATATTAACTTCTGCCATCTTCATGATATTCATGGACATGTTCCAGAGACCGCAATATTTGTTCAGTACTCATGTTTTTTTGTTTCTCCTTCATAGAAGCACCCATCCCCAGAGGACATTACAACCTGTTCTTCCCCATCCAGACTTCAATCTGACCTGAACTCCAAAGCTGTTTGTCCCATCCCCTATTGCCCCCTCTTAGCTGTAAAGGAGCCAGAACAGTCGTCGCTCCTTTTTCTTACAACAATGAAGTCAGAAATAGATAGACAGTCAATATAGTTAGGGAAATCAAGTCAGATCAGACCAGGGAGGCCAGTTTTGTGTAAATCTGGAAAGTTTGGGACTGTCACCTGAGAGATTAAAATTCCTTCACAGCTCTTCCTTTCTCCTATCAAAGATTTGAAAAAGACACATAAGAGAAGGGGGGAATGATGAACTCAGCCTAATTCCATCTTATGTTTGGGAGCCATCTAGTCACAAAGTCATGAAAAGTTATTTTCTGTTTTACTATAAATTACTGCAATTTCTAAACTTGTTTGGAATTTCTGCCCATGTCTTGATCTCACCCAAGCCTGGCTTTGCCTGACCAGATAACAACTATTTATAAAACCTTAGTGGCTCCTCATAAATCATGGCTCCCCCCAGTCAGAAAACAACCCTCTATGAAACCTCAGTGGCACCGCATAAATTCTGAGGTGGGGATTTGAATTTATTCCCTACCTTGAAATGTTAAGCCATGTACATCATTAATATACTGTCTGCCTTTGTATTATGTTTGCCAAAATTCTGCTATCTGTAAGTTCTCAAGACACCCTCATTTGTAAATTATGCTGAAACTGTGTTCTAGAGAGAAGGGGTACTGATCTCTAGTCTGGAGTTTTGGGACACACAGTCCTAGACAACTCCTGTGTACACAAATATAAGTTTACTTTAATTTGATTCAAAATTGGAGTCGGTGGTCTTTTCTTTCCATTGTGGTTTAACAGGGCATGGGGGCCCTAGTGTGTAATCTCAGCAGCTTGGGAGTTTGAGGCAGAAGGATAACAAGTTCAAAGCAAACATCAGCAACGGCAAGGTACTAAGCCACTCATGACACCCTGTTTCTAAATAAAATATAAAATAAAACTGGGGATGTGGCCCAGTCATGGAGTTCATCCCTGGTACCCTCCCCCCCCCCGAAAAAAAAGCTTACCACCAAGGAAAATTATTAAATCCATAGTTTACTCCCCAAAACCAGCTGAGTCAGTGTATGTGTGTGTGTGTGTATATACACACACACACACATACATACATATATATATGCCAACTCAGTCCTGACCTACTTTATCACACTCATGAGACAAGTCAGTGAAAATAGCACTCTCCAAGGGATAAAAAGCAAAGGCATTCTGGTGAAGTTAGGCTGAATAGACACACCTCTTCCTTGGGTGCACAGCATTAACTCACCACAAGGCTTTGTCCACATGCCTTTCTTTACTCTTCTCCACAAATCCATCAGGTTAAGTTAATTCACAAAACTTCACCATAAAAAATCATCAATGGAAAAATATGCCATATGTCAATCAATGTTGGATTTCTTTAAAATATGACCCAAAACAGTGAACTAAAAACTCAGAGCCTAGAAGAGCCATCCATACACTATGAATACATTAATCGGTAACAAAACTGAGATCATATGACACAAAACAAAATAAGACTTAAGATCTCTATCTTTATCTTATCGAAATCATGACAGATTCTGGACTATCTACCTAGCTAATATAAAATAAATAAATAAATAAATACATACATACATACATAATTATATATATACATATATAAACTTATATTAATATATATGGGAGGGATGAACAAGCTAGGTTCAGTGGAATATGCCAGTAATCCCAGAAAATCAAAGCCTGAGGATGGAAAATCACAAGTTCAAGACGAGTCTCAGCAACTTAGAAAAGCCCTAAGAAACATAGTGTGACCCTGTCTCAAAGGACAAACAAAAAGGGCTAGGGATGTGATGTAATCGAAAAGCTTCCCTGGTTTAAATTCCCAGAAACTGCACCCCCCCACCAAAAAAAATTTTTATTGTGTCTTTTATTAACACAGAATGAGACCTAAATGTGTTGAATTGCTTCTGGCAAAAATAAAAAGTTTTAAAAAATCCATGTTAACCACTGTTTTCTTTATTTACCTTCTCTTAATGTTCTCCTAATGTTGTAGCTATCCTCCTGGCCTTCAATCCAAGCATGCAAGACAAAGAATGTGAGAAGCCCAAGATTCTATAGTGGCTGTTGGCAGTAACTGCCACTCTGGATCCTCTTACATAAGAAGAGACAAAAGATCCTCAGCACCTTTCATATGAAAGAGCCTGATAGCAGGATGTCTACATGACCAAAGGTGCTGTCTGCAGCAAACTATAAGTTAAAGCAGCACAACGGAAGTCCAGAAGAGGAAAATTTTATAGTCGGCTGGGTCTTCCACCTCTCTAGAGTATGCTTCTATTGTTCAGAGTTCATTTTTCCAAAAATCAGCTCACAGAAAAGAAGACTCTTGCTCCTGGAGTCAAAAGAAAGTAATATTGATGAGTATATGAATGCAGAGTCAAGGCTTGTCCATGAAACAATGTTTACAATGAAGAGGTGTTGGGGAAGGAGAGCAGAAGAGAATTACCAGTCCCACCTGGCCCAGGTAAGACCAAAGAAAGTAGAAGTCAAGAAGAAACTACAGAGAATCTTGGACCACATCATTCCCCAGAGAATGCACTCAAGGAACTTCACCTTCATCGTAGGGCTGCAGTTGTGGATCGGTGGTAGAACATTAGCCTAGCATCTGTGGGCAATAGGCTTGACCCTCAGCACCACAGAAAATTAAATGAATAAATTAAAGGTATTCTGTCTACTAAAACTAAAAAAAAAAAAAAAAAAGAAACCTTTTTAACTAACCCCTTTCTTAATCCTTGAAAACTGCAGGAACTTCACTAATCAGATGAATTTGTATGGTTCCAGAACCACTATACTTGCTCAAACTAGATGTCTTTCTTCCATCTCCAGAGATATTATCTGTACTTGTTAATATAGCAATGTATACACTATTACCTCTTATGCTGTGAAACGTAATTTATAAAATTTTCATTAGATTTTAATGAACATTTAGAAGGAACACTGAGATGGTATCCCTAACACAAGAGCCTGGGGTAGGGGAGCCATGAGGTGAGCCCATTATGTCCCTCTTGCAGGGTTTCACCTGTCCAGAACTAAGCCATTAGTTTCTATTATACCTCTCCTATCACCTTCTTCACCCAATCAACTCTCTTGTCATTTTCCACACCCAATCCCCCATCTCCCTGGGAGGCTGACTGCACTATTGGCTATGTCATAACTTTCAATGACCAATTTTGTGACTTCATTCTCCTACCAAACTTATTGCCACCTGCTAGAATCTTAGGATTACCATGCAGTTGTAAACAAATTTGGATTATCACAAGTGACCAGTGACCAGTAACCAGACATCAGAGTGGCTGGTGGCCAGTGAACAGTCACCAGTGATCTCCATACTGAGAAACAACCTCAGCCACATCAGCATGGATATGTCCTCAAAAAAAAAATGAGGTTAGTTGGGATAGAATATGGAAGAGAAGCAAAGATTTTAAATCAATAGATAGTACAGAATGAAATCTTCCCAGATCTGCACAAAATGAGGCTGGTTTAGAGAATGTTTAGAATAACCAACTTGCAAGGGAACTAAGAATTGAATTAGGGTATTACTGGGGTAAGCAGTTTATCAGGAATGTCACATTTGGCTGATATGGTTTCTCTATGGCTTTTGACAGTTTGAACATTTTAGAAGTATGTTTTAGAAATGATTCTTCATATAAACATGTCATGAAAGTAGTTATAGATAGGGCAGGGGCATCAGAATTCTCCATGTCCTACTTTACTATGATTTTTGAACTACATGGATTTTAAAAAACTGATGTGCCCTAACCTGTATCAGAGGACAAATTCCTTTGTGTGACAGGTAGTTTTGGAGCAGAAGCTATTTTTCATCTTTCCAAGAGTTTTCTTTCTAAAATGGAATACAAAGAGTCATTAATGGTATTTAAGCTTAAGAAGCAAAAGAGAGACCTACGGAAGGACAAAAAGTCAAGTTCCACATCTCTAAATCCACATTTATCTAAAATAATTTTGTGAAGTCTTTTTTGGTTTTTCTGTATATCAAAAAACTATTGTAGGTTGGAGGAGTAGGTCCATGGTGAAGGGCATGCTTAATATATATGAAGTCTTGGTTCCACTTACCAGCACCAGTAACCATCAAAAAAATTAGATTTAAATTTATTATTATATTCTATTGGTGATGGTTATTTCAGACTTTAGGGACAACATTTTCCTGTTATAAATGATTATAAACTAGAATTTTAGGACAAATAAAAATTACATGATCATTTTGAAGCATTTTCTTTGCCTCTTTATAACTGAAATATTTATCAGAAAAATTTTTATATTAATCGAAGTATCTACCTACTGGCATTCATATCCTTAACTTGTTATGGGTAATATTGAGAGGAAGATGAACAAGCAAGTGTTAAAATTACATTACACTTCTTGTTTTGTTCTCTATTTTGTAAAAAATTTATTTTTTCTTCCTTCCTTCCTAATCTCCTAACAGAAGTCTGTCCATGGTTCTTAAAAACTGCTACTAGAAATGCCTTCTCCACAGTTGGAAGGTTCCTTAATTAGTGTGTTTCTGCATAGGGGGAGCATTCTACTTATGATCTTTCTCCATTCCTTCCTTTGCAGGGATGGAAACTTCCTTAGGGATGGAGGCTTCCTTGGGATTGCAAGCTCCCAGTCAGACCTTTTGTATGCCACAATCTCCAGAATTCCCCAACTGCTACAGTAACAGAAAAAGCCAAATACTCCAGAGGAACTCACAAACTGAATGTGAGGACATTTCAGTAATAACTCCAGTCCAGAGTTCTACTAATTTCTGAGCATCGCCCCCAACTCAAAGCCAGAAACAAATAGAGAGTAAGAAACTAAATGAGATTAAAACCATGCTTTCAAAGCCCCTGGATTCCTGCCAGTTTACCATGAAAAACCAAGATCCTCCTCTATTCCTTTTAAATAGCCCTGAAATCTATCAGCTTCTGCCCTCCATTGGTCCTCTGGACCAAAAGAAGAAGCCATACTCTGAAATTATCCATCTGGAAAAGAACAGCCTGAGTATTGAGGACCAACGCACACTTCAAAATGGGATTAAATCTAGCAGTGGTTTTGCAGACCTCCCTCACTGCACTTCTGGGAGATATTCACCTTCCTGAGCTTTTCAGTTCCTTGAAAGATTTTGACCAACCTGAAAGTCTCACAATCACAAAATCCAATGACACCAGAGCCATCATGGTGAATCAGAGGCAGGAAAAACTCAACTGTCTAAAAGGGTCCTTGTAATCCAGTGAGGAACAACAAACATAAAGCCTCAGAGTGTCCTGATGGAACTCCACAGGCCAAAATGCAGCCCAGGGACCTAGAGTGCACATTAGGAGGAGAAGTTGCTCACAGAGATGCAGACAGTAGTAGGGCCCCTGTGCACACAGGCAAGCACTCTAACAGCAAACCTCAGAAATCTGCATCCAGCAGGAACAGCAAGGCTAAGGGCCATGAGCAGGAAAAGACCAAGAGGAACAGAGAAAATAACTCCAGGAAAGCCCAGGGGAGGAAGGAGCCAGGCAATAAAGTCAAGGCAGAAGAGAAGCCAACCATGCCGAAGATGAAGCAGAAGAGAAACCCACCTGAGCTTTACCAAGAGAGCTTTAAAAAGCCTGAGGAGGGGCTGAGTTGTACCTCAGTGGTGGAACGCTCGCTTAGCACATGTGAGGCACTGGGTTCTATGTTCAGCAACACATACAAATTAAAGGAAGATATCGTGTCCATCTACAACTGAAAAAATGTTTTAAAAACATTAGGAAAAATGAGTTACTTTGGGGATTATGCTCAATGGGAGCAGATGAGCCTGGTTCCTATCCTAGGAGCTCTACTTCCACAAGAATAGCACTTGCACAATAACAGTATCCTCTTGCTGGACTCATTCACTGTTATATCCCTAACACTAGAAACAGCTATTCAATCAGTATTTATCAAAATGTTGAATTGACTGTATTTTGTCCTATATTGGCTCCTGCAAGGACCTGAACCATACTTTATGCCCTCTGTTTGACCAGCATCTCCAGTGCCTCCATTTCTTCAGGCAAAACACTATATTCAAATTCTGAAGGGAAAGAGTCAACAGCAAAGTAGATAAGGTACTGTTTACTTTAGGTATGGACTACTATGTGCTATGTACAACTATCTTCCCAATTTCTTCTGCAAGGGATCCATAAGTTAAATAGTGAAGCCTTGCATTGGTAGGCATGTTAGTGTTTATTGAGGATGGGAAGGTGACCTACAATGTGCTATCACTCATCTTAAAAGCCAATGACCACACAGTCACTTTAGTGAAGCTTAATTATGGCAAGGGTCTTCTGGATGGGGGTGGAAATATAACTCCAAGAGATATATACACAATTATGTTTGGCAGAAAAAAGGCACTGGATCTGGTAACACCTGAGCTGGATCTTTAAGTTATACTTTGACAAACAAGTTACCATAGAACAACCTCCCAAGGAGCTCTCAAATAAATTTTCAGAAAGTGTCCTTAGAGTTAAGCTTTAAAACAAAGCATAAATTTTCAAGGTGGTGACATACAAAGTCTCCTGTGGCCGGCCTGCTGAACCTTACTGGAAAAAATGTGTGTACATATTCAAACATTGTGCATACCTACAAGTAGAATGTGGCAATCTATTTGCACTTGAGTATATAAATACCTTGTCCTGGTTTCAGGGGCAGGAACTTTCTTACAAGTCTTTGTGAACCCATGGTATTTGCACTATTTTAGCAGGTCAGTGACTCCTACCCAGAAGACCCTTGCCATAATTAAGCTTCTCTTTGTCAGATCAGCAGGATATCTGCAGAGGATATTGAGGTTAGTATTTTCCTCATTTTTTTTTTTGGAAAATTCCAGGTTTAAAAACAAAAGTTGTGACAGAGTAGTCTGAAAGCTTTTTATTAAAAAATGATTTTTATGTTTTCTTGGTAAAAACTTGTGAAACCTGTATCTGTCTAGAGGACAGAATGAAACTCCATTGGTATTTGAACCTCCTACCCCACCCCACCTTACTCCCACTGGGTAGAAAATTAAAGGAATTTCTATCTTTTTTTTTTCCAGAGGAAGAATACTTAGGCACGAGCTACCTCTGAACCCTGCAATTAATAAATCTGCTTCCTGAGAATTCCTTAGGTATCTGGACTCTTCTGTCTTAATTCACCATAACACTTTCAAAACATCTTATAGGTATTCTTACAGTTTTACATTCTCTTCTTAACAATAAGTTATTCCCTCCGTAATACCTCACCATACAAATTTTGTGTAGAAAATTAAACAAGCTGAAAAGAAATACAGTGTCCTGGGTTTCAATCCCTGATTAGTTTAAGTCGCTATTTTACTTGAATCAGCAATCCCTCTTGGAATATGAGTTTATGTGAGTGTAATGGAGGTGATATGTCTTGGGAAACATCTATTTAAAAGCAAAAAAAAAAAATTCAGCTTGGTCAAAGCTTTCTTTTAACTACTGGGGTCCACTTTCTTCTGGTTCTATTTTCCTTTAAAAGCTAGGGTGCTACAGAGCTTGCTCATCTTTGGCCAGATTTTGCAGGAGTTGATTCTAGCCTTGCTCACCAGCTTCTCACCCCTGGTCATAAATCTTTGGGAGTATAATTGGCAGATTGGTGTTAGTGGGCATGCCGCCAGGAAAGGAGGTAAAGGGTCTTGGATGTGGTGGGTTTTGGAATTTTGAGCATGGAACTCTGATAGGAGCAGCTGCTGTGTGTCCTCTACACCACCCACTGAGCACGAGGCTATTTAAGGCTCTGGTCTCCTTGGGTTGTTGCCTGACCAGCAAGGACCAACACTATCCTGGCTATTTCATATGAAAGACCTACAACCTTAGGTGATTTTGCCTGGGAATGGCAGTTTGGGCTTGAATGCTTTTAAGAAGGGCACTCCAAGCACTTGTGGATGCATCCCTCTCTACTGTGAACGCCCACTCTGCTCATTCCTGCTGCTTCCTTTCACCACCTCCACAATACAGTTTACCAATGAGGCAACTTGGGGAGGTTTTAGATTTGCAAGAGGCTTTGTGGGAGATGCAGTGCATCTCTTATCAGTTCCCCAGCTTTTCATGACCATGAGGGGGGTTTAGAGGGAAAGTTTTATGAAGAAAATGTGACCTAAATATTGAGGAAACCATGTGAGAGAATTGGCCTACAGATGACTAACTCTAAGGAAGGATTGGAGTAGAAAACAAAGAAACAGTGGCTAAATAAATGAAGGAAAATTCTAAATTTAGTAGAAAGATCTAGCCATTACCTATATCATCAAGGTTAGAGCACATACTTTTGGTAGGCCCTAGGAATATAAAATATACGTAAGGCACAGAGTACATGTCCACAAAAAGCGTCCAATCACTCTGGAGAGAAGGAAAACATACAATAAAAAATAAAATAGCATTTTCATACTATTTTCAAGTGCAGTGTTCTTCACAGTCTGAAAGAGCCCCTTCAAAACTGGCTGCTGTGGCTTTCTGTGGACATTTGCATGAAACCTGTGACAAGCAGTCCTCTAGAGACAACCTTGGGTGGATTCATGAACTCTGTATCTAAACTGATTCACTATGTAGGATGGCTGTCCACTACTGCAATATCATTAGAAAGTAGCAGCACTTTCTTATTGCACTTCATTTGGGATTTCTATGAGAAGGTATGTGACACTATGTAAATTATGACCGCCCTTTAGTACTATTTCCTCTTGGGATCTTTGACTCTGCATTCCTCAGCCTGGGTACCAGTATACTGAACCAGCTCTGATATATTATGCACAGGTATCGTGAAAGTTTGCTGCAAAAAAAACTGAGTTGGTTCAAAAGGCAAAATCAGACTCCATTTTCAGCAGCAAGATCTAGCTATGAACAATTTTATCATTACTTGACAACCATGGTTGGCTGACTGTGCACGTACAAACCATTTGAGAAAGGAACATATATTGACCTCCAAATCCTAGAAAAACCTCTAGTAGTAAGTAATACAATAGTTTAAATTTAGTCTATTGCCCTTCTCTATTAAGCTTTGCTGCTTCCTTTTCTGGTGCAGGAAAAGTCCAGAAGAAAGGATAATAAACATGAGCTCTCTTTGGGGGAAGAAATGGAACTGGTATTGAGAACATTTCTTCTCAGAAGGGTTACTGGGCTTGAAAGTCTTGAATATTATATTCATAATATTCTTGAAAGTAATATTATGAATATTACTTCCTACTTCATAGGAAGTAATATTCATAATTCTTCTGTGCTATGATCACAGCTGTCCCCTTATCAGAGAGCACAGCCACCCTGATAAAAGTTAAATGAATGTTGACATTCAAACGGAACATGCTGGCTTAAAATCCTTCCTCAATTCTAGAGAAGCCAAGTGGCTCAACTTGTGTTTCCCTATTCATTTCATTAACAGACTGCCATCTGAGTTCCAGGAGTACTCAGAACAGCCTTCTGTCCATGGCTCAGGAGGGCCTTGGTGTGGCTACCTATATTTCATAATTTAGATTTTTCAGCTCACTAGTGAAAACTGACCTCCTAACCATGCTCTGCCTTCTAGCAAATTATACACGAAGAAAGATATCTGTTTCGTGGTGGGATTTTCCATATTTTTGTAAACTATCAGCTGCATAGTGGTAGAAAATTCACAGACATACTCATGCAGAATACTTTGCTGCCTCTGTGAAACCAATGTAGATATTGCCATGTTTTCTTATGAACAGGCACAGCAGTACCAAACTGAAAAGACACAACAGATAGGACTCTAAAGCCTTGAGTAGCTGATGGCCTCCTGGTAAAAATTTGTTTTGGGAAGAAAGGGGAAAGAATAGGGGGATAATCAAGATGCTTCTGTTTATACTGAAGGGTTTAATAAAACTATTGTATTTGTGTGTATATATGTATGTACACATCTGCTTTTTAAATGTTCAGGCCTAAATACACTAAGTGCAACTTTCCATTCAATAGTAATACTGAGGCTTTTTATGAATTTCATATAAAGTAAACTCTCTTGTTTAAAATATACATTTTGAATCACTGGGGTTGTATCTCAGTGGCAGAGAGCTTGCCTTGCATATGTGAGGCACTAGGTTCAATTCTCTGCACAGTAAATGAATAAAAATTAGTAAAGAAATAAACCCCACCAACAACTGAAATAGTATTTCAAAAACTAAATTTTTTCTTTACTACTACTGAATAACACTCCTAGTCTTAAAAAAAAATTGAATCATTTAAGAGGAATGAATCTGAATTCATCTTTGTTTTTATGGGCACATCCTTAACTTTCTTTAATATCCTATTCATTCAAACAAAAACTATGTTATTGGATAACAGAAATTCCATTCATCCACTGATAGACTGAATTAATATGTATTGGATTCCTTACCATGTGCCAGGTATTCTTCAGTGTGCTGGTTATACAGCTGTATCCCATAAAATGTACCTGCTTTTATGGAGTTTACATCCCTGTGAAGAAGACTGACCAAAACATTATAAACAATATGTAACATCAGGTGCTAAGAAGAAAAAGCAGAGATTGGGGCAGAATGTGGAGGTGGTTGCTACTATAAATAAGGTGGTTAGGGAAGGTCTGTCTAAAGAGGCAAAATAGGAAGAGAATCTCCTAAGCATATAAGCCATGCCACTAGGAAAGAACATTCTGCAGAGAGGTTAAGGCAGTGAAAAGGCCCTGAATGTTAACTTCTGTGGCATGTTTAGGAATAGCAGAGGCTGGTGAGGATGTAGCATACTGATTAAGAAAAAAAGAGTTGGGGCTGGGGATGTGGCTCAAGTGGTAACGCGCTTGCCTGGCATGCGAGGGACACTGGGTTCCATCCTCAGCACTACATAAAAATAAAATAAAGATGTTGTGTCCACCGAAAACTGAAAAATAAATATTAAAAAAATTTTTCTCTCTCTCTCTCTCTCTCATAAAAAAGTAAATAAAAAAGAGTCATAAGAACTAGGGGAGAAAGGCAGAGACTATTTTACAAAAGGTCCATTTAGCCTAGTACGGATATGTAAATGAGGCCACTAGTGAGATTGAGAAGTAGAGTGGTACAATTTGGCTTCCCTGTATGAAATATGAAGCTATAATAGAAAGGTAGGAAAGAAGAGGGTTGAGGGAAAAGCAGGGAGACCAAATAGGTTATTACTATATTCCAGGCAAGAGTCTTAGGCTAGTCTCACAGATGACAGACAAGTGGTTACATTTTGCATTCAGTCTCTGTTTTGAAGATAGAGAAATTAGGATTTATTGATGACTTGTATATAAGGAGGAAGAAATGTGAAAAGTAAAACATGACTCCTAGATTTTCTTCTCTTGAACAAGTAGGTGAATTCTGAGATAGAAATGAGGCAAACTGGAGGAAGGTTTGGAGAAGCATGGACTTGAGTTCTATTTTGCCCATGTTGGGTTCAAGAGGTTGAACAGAAAATTGAATTTCACAGTGTAATTTAGGGCTTGAAAATTAATCTGGGAGTCATTAGGGAATAGCCATGGCATTAGATAAAAATCACTTAATGCAGCTGAAAAGGAGAAAATGGCAAAGGTCTAACCCCTGGTGTATTCCAACATTAAGAAGTAAAGAATACGAATAAAAAACAAAAAACTTACCACTGAACTAGAAGAAAAATCAGGACATTGGTATGCTGTAGCCAGGTAACCAAAGGGTTTCATTTCACACAGGCGCAAATATTTCTATATGTTCTCATGTGTATGTAGAAGCTCAAAGAGTTGATTGTCCTAAGAGAGAGTAAAAGAGTGATTGGCAGAGGCTGGAAAAAGTTGGGGAGAGAAGTTTGGAGAGAGGATGGTTTACAGGTAAAGGGGTGCTGTTGGGGGAGAAAACTAATGTTTTATAGAGTAGGGAAACTGAGTTTGACAACCATGAACTGCATATTTCAAAATGACTCCTTAATAGGATTTTGAATGTTCTCTAAAACAAAGATATATATTTGAAATGTAATATATACGTCAATTATCTTGACTGTTATACATTGTGAGTATACATATATATTGAAATATCACCCTGTACACCATAAATATGTACAGTTATGTATCAATTAAAATATTTCAAATTAAATTAAAAATTCAGCTCCTCAAAAAAAGAAGAAAGAAAGCCTGAACCATGTACTTGCCATGTTGTATAAGAAATCTTTTTTTAAGTTAACTTTTTCTTTTTTATTTTGTTATTATTTTTATTTATATATGACAGCGGAATGCACTACAATTCTTATTACACACACATAGGGCACAAGTTTTCATATCTCTGGTTGTATACAAACTACATTCACACCAATTTGTGTCTTCATGAAAGTACTTTGGATAATGATGTCCATCACACTCCACCATGTTTTCTAATCCCATGCCCGCTCTGTTCCCCTCCCAACTCTCTGCTCTATCTTGAGTTCGTCTATTCCTCTCATGCTCCCCGTCGCCACACAAGTATGAATCAGCCTCTTTATATCAGAGAAAATATTTGGCATTTGTTTTTTTGCATTAGTTAACTTCACTAATCCACCCATTTACCTGCAAATGCCATAATTTTATTCTCTTTTATTGCTCAGTAATATTGTGTCTAAATGCCACAGATTTTTTATCCATTCATCTATTGAAGGGCATCTAGATTGGTTCCACATTTTAGCTATTGTGAATTGTGCTGCTACAAACACTGATGTGGCGAGTGTCCCTGTAGTATGCTGTTTTTAAGTCCTTTGGTTATCAACTAAAGAGAAGTAGGAGAGCCAAAATAGGCAAAGCAATCCTTACCAAGAAGAGTGAAGCAGGAAGCAAAAGTAACAAACATTGCAAAGTATTGGCACCAAAATAGACTTGTAGACCAAAGGTACAGAATAGAGGACACACAGACATACCCACATAAATACAGTATCTCGTAAGAGAGAAAGGCACCAAAAAGATACACTGGAGAAAAAGATAGCCTCTTCAACAAACGGTGCTGGGAAAACTGGAAATCCATATGCAGCAAAATGAAATTAAGCCGCTCTCTCTCTCACCATGCACAAAACTCAACTCAAAGTGGATCAAGGACTTAAGAATTAAACCAAAATCTCTGCACCTAATAGAAAAAAAAAAGACCAAATCTTTATCATGTAGGATTTGGCCCTGACTTCCTTTACCAGACATCTATAGTGCAAGAAATGAAAATCAAGAATCAATATATGAGATGGATGCAAACTGAAAAGCTTCTTCTCAGCAAAAGAAACAATGAAACAATCAGTGAGGTGAAGAGAGAGCCTACAGAATGGCAGCAAATTTTTACCACAGGCAAATCAGAGCACCAATCTCTAGGATATCTAAAGAACTCAAAAAACTTAACATCAAAAAAAAAAAAAAAAAA